AATGTGTGCTGATTAGAAAAAAAGACTTCCTGAAAATAAAATGCTAGAAGAGATTACCTACAAGGTTGCCCTCCTGCCACTGAAGATTTATAAGAAAATGGGGTGTTTTGATCTACCTGGGATGATTTAGGTGGGATATTGACTGAAGTTGCAGGATAAACCCAAGGTCCTTTCAAGGTCTCTTCCCATCCAAAGACTCTAAGATGAACCAGAAAAAAAAAAATTAATTATGTACAACCTACTCATCCAAATCTAAAAATATAAATAAGTTTTATTGTTAGCAAATAAGACAATAAGCAAAATAAAAGGGATGTTCCACTGACAGCTGGGTATGGCAGCCAGTGCCTACAGTCCTGGCACTAAGACTAAGCAGGAGGATAGCCATGACTTTAAGGCTAGGTGAGAGTACACAGTCAGTTTCAACAGGGTGAGGTCTGATCTCAAAACAAAACCAAAAAACTACAGACAAGCCAGGTGTGGTAAAGTTCACCTTTACTCCCAGCACAGGAGAAGCAGAGGGTGGGTCTCTATGAGTTCATGCCAGTCTGGTCTATCTAGTAAGTTCCAGGCTAGCTAGCCAGGGATATACAGTGAGACCCTGTCTCAACACAAAACATTTCTACTTGGTGAACAAAAGAAATCACAGCTTGAACTTAACATTGGAGTCCTTATGATAAGTAATAGCGTCTATATTAAAAGATCATCCATTTGCAGCCAGGCATGGTGACCCACTGCTTTAATTCCAGCATAATAGCAGCAGAGGCAGGCCTATCTCTGTGAGTTAAAGGCCAACCTGGACGACACAGCAAGTTCCAGGCCAGCCACGGCTACATATTGAGATCAGTGTCTCAAAAACAGAAAAGATCACCCATTTTCAGTTTTGGAAATATGAACTGAGGACTGAGAGTGTGGCCAGCATGTGTGATGCTCTGGAGTTCACTACCAGCACAGAGGAAGAAAAAGAAAGGAAGGAGGGTGAAGGAAGGAGGAAAGAAAAAGGGAGAGAGGAGATGTTGTGAAACAACCATTCACAACAACAGTGGTTCAGCCCACGACAGCAGTGTAACAGAAACAAAATAAAGACTCAAATAGGCTCCTTCCTCTGACTGAGCTTGTAGTTTGTATTTTCAGGAAGACAGATAAACACATCACCTTTTGACAACAGCATCATAAAAACGCCACTATCTTAATCAGAATACAGCCAGCCAAACACAGCTACAAGGGCATGTACACATATCTTGCAGAAACAGGCATCTCATATTAAAGTCACTCTTCATTTCCAAAGTTATTATTTCTAGACTAATCTCAAATTAAGAAGCAAAACTTTGTAATTAAATTTTTCTATAAGTTGGTAAATAAATCTACCTACCTTGAATCTGCCTAGAAGAATTCAGAAAATAAACCATTGAATGATAAGCTTGCCCCAGCAGTTAAAAGCTAACCCAGAGTTCAGATTCTAAATTATCCAAATGTGTGTGTGTGTGTGTGTGTGTGTGTGTGTGTACTTTTCTGATAACCACAAATCAAAAGCAAACTTTGCCAGAAACCTAAGTTTTGCTACTTATGCAAACATCCACCAAATAAGAGCAATGTAAAATCACACAACTTTGAAAGAGAGGGCTAGGCTTTGCTTTTTAGAGAGAGCACTAATCCCAGAGGTGGGTATTTGCTTCTCCTTATGTTTGTTTGTCTGTTTGTGACAGAGTCTCATGTCACCCACGCTGGCCTCATACTCACTCATGTGGGCAAGGCTGACCCTTCTGCCTTGGCAGTGCTTAGGATGACAGGCATGCACTACCATACAGTGCCAGGCAATCAAACCCAGGCCTTCAGGAATGCTGGGCAAGCACTCTACCAACAGAGCTACGCCCCAAGTCCCTAGAATAGGGGTTGTTGAAGTTTGCTGTCTAGCTTGCAGTGCTAAGACCAACGCAAGGCCTTACACATGCTAGACAATGCTCCACCGTCAGCAACACTTGCAGCCTCCACAGACTTCAAGGAGAAAAGGTATCATCATTGTGTATCTGAATGTACACAATGAAATAATCTTCACTACAAAGAGGCTCAGTGGGTGAGCACTGAATGCTCTTCCCTGAAGACCCAGGTTAGATTTCTAGAACCCACACAGCTCCCAACTGCCTGTAACTTCAGTTCCTGAGGATCTGATTCCCTCTTCTGCAGTGCCCCTCTGCAGGCACCAGGCATGCGTGTGGTATACAGACAGACATGCATGCCTACAAAGCACCCATACACATAAAAATTAAATTTTAATTTAATCTTAAAAAAGATTCTCAAGAATAGTTTGTACCCTCTGTCCCCATGAAAGAGAATTATACATTACTTTCACATTATCAAATGCAAAGTAAATAGTCATCAATATTTTTAGCTAAATGTAAACCCTTTATAATGAAAATCATTAAAATACCACCAAGAAAGAATAACCTAAATTCTGTCCCCAAATTCTAATCTTCCTTTTAATCTCCAAATCAGTCTTACAGGGCCAGGGAGATGGCTTATTGGGTAAAGGAGCTTGCCGCCAAGCCTCACAATCTGAGTTCGATCCCCAGCAACCCCATGATGGAAAGAGAGAACCAACTCAAGTTGTCTCCGACCTCCACATGTGCTCTACATACATACAATTAAGTAAATGTAAATATTTTAATTAAAAATAAGTATTACACATCAAAAGGTTCGAACGAACCTTTAGAATAGGAATATGCCCTTCCTATTCACAATCATCAAATATAGCAGGCAGAAGGACTACAATCTTATCTTACAGAATTTTTTTCATAAAAGGTGCTCATAAATTCATTATATTATATAATCTAAAAGATAAGTGCACAGCTCTAAAGCTCTCCACAACTCTCCACTCCACCTTTCTTTTTCACAGTCTGCACTGTGGGGAGTAAGCAGCTACACACAAATGTCCCACACAAAGCTGAAAGCCTCAGACCTTGACTTCGGTCTCCCCCTCGGCAGACTTCCCTGGTTGGTTAGTCACCTTTCTCTGAAGGAGTTATCCTCCTCCTTCAGTCCCTGAAAACAGCTGGGCAGGAATCTGGCTGACCAATGAGAACAAAAAGGGTCTTATCCTTCTCTGTCCCAGTGGAAAAGAAAATGCTGTCCATCAGATGCCCTGCCAGCCCCTGTCAGGACAAAACTACTCCACACCCACCCAAACTATGGCAGAGCACAAGCCCAGTGTAAACAAACACCTGTACCTATTAGCACATTAGTGAAATCAAAGGGGGTTTCAGCACCTAGGGCTGCCACCTTTTCTATTACACAACAACAAAATCCAACCAAAGTGGGTCTCATCTTTTCAAAGTGGACGTGAAAGTGGGTTTCCAAGCGACGGAAGATGGAAACCGACTCCTTGAAGGGAGAACAAGGTTTCTGGAATTTCCTACTTTTAGGGACAAAAGGACTCACAAATTCAATCCACATTTCTCTTAACAAAGAACTCCTTTACTGCACCCCACCTGGGCCCCTACTTTTCAGGTTTTACCCTGGTTTCCAGGGCCCCCTTCACTCACCATGGTTCCTTATCTTCTTCACCAAAGGCCCCCACACTGGCTTCTTCACTACAGCGTTTGTGCCCTGCCCCTTCCAGACCTTCTGGGGCACCTCAGGGCAAAATGCACATTCAGTCCCCAGGGCTGTGCAGCCCACCCCGTTCTTCCCATCGGGACTCTCCCGGCTCCCCTCAGCCTTGTTTCTCTGCCCTCACTCCCCACTCCATCCTCTAAATCCCAGGGCCCCTCTCCTCCCCGCTCCTCTTCTCAGGCCGGTCCCCGCACTCCCCTATCTGCACCTTGCGGACCCCCCCTCTTCTCTCAACAATTCCCCAGTCCCCCTGTCCCGGGGCACCATCACTCAAGCCTTGCTTCTCCTCGCGTCCTTCCAGCTTGTTCTTGTTCCCCCAGAACTGTCCTATTAACGCCCAGCTCGATGCAAGCCTGCCTTTCCTCCACTACCGCTCCAATTTCTGACTCCACCTGGCTGTAATGCAGGTCCCTTCGGCCTTCCTGCCTCACTTGGCAGGATTCACACCCACCACCCAGCCACGGACCCACACCTTGCCGACAGATCCCACCCCAGCCGATCCCAGCCCTTCAGCTCATCCCTGGCTCCGCACTAGTTCACACCCTTGTCACGTCTGGCTCTTAATCACTCTCTCGCCCCTACTCCCAACTACTCCCCGGCTCCGCTCCTTGTCTTCCACTTGCAACTCCTCTGCCCTGGGTACCCCTCACCCCAGCACCCCCCACCTGCCAAGCCTTGCCTCCTGCAGACCCTGCTCCTAGCCCTGACCCCGGATCCCTCTCCCCAGCCCGGGGCTTCCTAACCTCATCCCGGAGCCAGCCTGGGTCTCCCTCCCACTCCTCTCCCCGGCTTCTAACCCTTTCTCCTAATCCTCCTCATCTCCCACTCAGCGGCCGCTCCCCCCGCAGCCTGCCTGCCCCTCGCTCCCCTCAAGGCTTTCACCTCAGACCCCAGACGTCGCCCACCCC